CTCAAACTCACAGAGATCCGCCCGGCTCTGCCTCCCTAGTGCTGGGATTAAAGGCGTGAGCCACCGGCGCCTGGCTTGGCCTTGAACTCTTGATCCTCCTACCTCAGCCTGGCGCTAGGATCATTGGCTTGTGCCACCAAGCCTGGTTGTATCCGCTGTCCTTTCCCTGAACCGGGAGTCAGTGTCAGGGTAGATCTAGAGATGGCGGGAAAGGCAGAAGCGGGTGACAGGCTTCAGATGAGTGCTCAGTGCTGGCATGTCCTGTCCCTGCCCTCAGCCAGGACCCACCCTGTGTTCCAGTGGTTTGGGATCTTTCCTAATCTCTTCTGTCCTTTTCTCTCTGCTGCCCCCGGGCTGCCAGGCCAGCAGCAACCTTCACAGGTAATGTCCTTACCGCCTGCCCACCCGTCTGCCCGCTCTTCCCTCTCTGGGCCCTCTAGACTAGCTACAGCTAGTTCCTTGCCCTCTTGGCTTCCTCCTTTCACCTGTGAGACCCAGGCTCTTCCTGACTGGCGGCCAGGCCCAAAGCAGACTTTCTGACCTGGACTGGCAGCTCAACCATTTAGCTTCCCAGTGCGGGGGAGGGGGCGCGGGAAGGAAGAAGGAAAGAGATGGCCCCAAGGTGGGCTCTCCATGATCTTCGGAACCCTTTGCCCACAGCCTGTTTAAGAGCGGTATCAGCTGGGGCCGCGTGGTGGCTCTCCTGGGTTTTGGCTACCGCCTGGCCCTGTACGTCTACCAGCGTGGTTTGACCGGCTTCCTGGGCCAGGTGACCTGCTTTTTGGCTGATATCATACTGCACCATTATATTGCCAGATGGATTGCGCAGAGAGGCGGCTGGGTGAGTGTCGGGGGTGGGGACATCCCCCTGCTATTCGGGCTAGTCCAGCCATTCCATAACCCACCCCTTTTCTCCTGACAGGTGGCAGCCCTGAATCTGCGCAGAGACCCCATTGTGATCGTGATGACAATTCTTGGTGTGGTTCTGTTGGGCCAATACATGGTACAGAGATTCTTCAGGTCATGACTCCCGGGAGCCCTTTGGGGCCCCAGCCTAAACTTCTCCCTATCCCCCTCCCCTGCAACAATCCTCTCCTTCCTCCAAGAGCACAGATGCTTTAGCAAACAGGCCCCCTGCTTTGGAGACCCGCTGCCCAGGGGTCCCCGAGGAGACATGGATACCCCAACATTGCATGGTGCTACTGAGCCCCGTCCTGTCTGAGCGGGCTGACTGGTGCCTTGGAGACACAAGAGACTGGGTACTGCTTCCCAGGAAGTTTTTAACGGTTTTTGCTTTTTATACTACCATTTGAGACACCCCCCACACACACACTGTTCTTCCACAGAACCCCAAGTCAGGCATTTGGGGACCAGCGGTTCTAACCTTTGTCCCCAGACCTCCTGCTACTTTGGAAGGTCAGAACCTGAGAGGGGGCTTGAGCCCAGACTGGCCCTCCCTACACAGGGCTGGCTGTGAGGGTGCATGACCTGCTCGGTCCCCCACCCCTGTTTCTTACTTCCCCAGTTCCATCCCCCATTCTCCCCTCCCCCTTCCATCCCCTATCCCATTGCATTTTGCCTTTGTGGCTGGACTCTCAGGGATCCCGAGCCCACAGTGAGGGTGGAGGTCAGAGTTCAGACCACAGCTGTCTGAATATGTTCATCGAGGCCCTCCAAACCTTTGCCCCTTCCTGGCATTCTCCAGTTTTCACCCATCCCCTGACCCAAGGACCACTGCTTCCAACCTAGTGGGCAGGGGAGACCCTCACCTTCTCCCCAGAGCCCCAGGTGAGCCTGCCTTCCAGGGGGGGCCTCCTTGACTTAGGGAAGAGCCTCGGACTCTGTTGTCAGGACAGGGGAAGGGGCAGACTCATTTGGAGGTCTCAAGCTAAAGAGCTACACCTGCAGGGGCAATTGTGGATCTGGGTGCAGTGTGACCCCGGACCTGTGATACTTGAACCACACTACCACCCGTGCTCCTTGCCTGCCTAGGCCCTTTGGGTGGGGTGGGGGTGTCTTCTCTATCTTGCACAACATAGGGGTAATCCAGGGAGGGGAGGCAGATGGGTCCCCCACCTCACCTCTAACTGTGTCTGGAAATAAACTGTGCAATCCCCCAACACCCCACTTGGCATTTTTACCCTCTGCTGGATTGTGGGAAATTGGGCAGACAGGTGTAATCCTGACTCCATACCACATAAGTCCTTCTACTGAGATTCCAAAATCCTGGGCACGGGGCTGCAGGTGGCTGGAAAATCAGAACAAACCACAGCCAGCCCTTGGTGGCGTCCCGCCAGGTCTTTAGCCCTTAGTCTCATGGTTTTTTTCTGTGCATTTAGGAGGGGGCACATGTGGCACAGTGTGTGTGTGTGTGTGTGTGTGTGTGTGTGTGTGTGTGAGAGAGAGAGAGAG